ATTGGATGCTTGTCCTCCAACAAGGTAGGAGGCAAATATTTCTCCATTGGTTATACATGTATTTTTCATCTTCAATAATATTTATTTTATTTATTCTAGGTCCATTAGTATTGTCTTACTTGTGGGGCCTCTGATGCCTTCAATGAGCTTTCCCTGTTTGCATGCTAGATGAAGACAATTCATCTGATGGTGGACCTTTTGGGTTATTAGCCAACATTGTAGCATCTGTGTCTTTCTCCCAAGGTAAAAAAAAAAGGTTCTTGAGCTATATGTGCTTAATTGGTTATAGGCGTTAGTGTTTGTCTTTGGACTTGCCCTCTTTTTTCTAAATGAATGAATCTTTTTCCATAAAAAAAGGGCTATAGTAGGTGGAAAATTACTGCTTCATGGAAGTATTATGGCAGTATAAATGTGGATCACTTGGGCTGCCATTCATCTTTCCTATGTCAAAATTTTGAATAAATAGGATTCTAGACCTCTCCTATGACTGTTGGTTTAGTAGTCTCTTTTGTTGTTAGAATAAGGTTTTGCTAAATGAGGCATTTAGATAGAGAACCCAAACAATCCTAAACAATTGCCAAATCTTAATTTGGTAACATAGTTTGAGGTGGGGTGTGATTTCCACTCCAGTCTCCACCCACAATTCAATGGAGAAGTTTCAGCCTAGCAGCCCCTTTCACATGGACAAACCAGTCCTCTTCCTTGAGCAATTTTTAAGTTAAACAAGATATTGAAATTTTCAGAAAGTGATTTGGGGAAAGCTTTCTTATTTAATGGATGGATTGATATTGCCTCCCATGTATAGATCAATGGTTTCATGTAGAGAGGCAATACACGTGCACATGAGCATATTTCATGCCTCATCATGTGATTTTTCTTAAGTTGTGTTTGGTTGCAGTATAAATTTTATTTGCACTGGTGTAAATAAATGGGAATGCATAATGGATGAGTGTAAATTTTGGTTTGCTTTTGTCTTGGATTTGACTGTCTGTAGAAAGTAAAGCATGAAGAAAATGAAGTGATCTCCACTTTAAATGAGCCAGAATGGAGAGAGGAAGAGGGTTATGATGCAAGGTGATGTGATCCCAACATTATATGAAAAAGATTTGAGGTAGGAGGAAAGTGGTGCAAATACTGCCAGTGAGTGTAAGAGACAAAGAATATAAATTTTGTATCAAATAGAAATGCAAATCATAATTACAAACAAATGAAAGCAAAACTGGACCAAATACAAATTTTCCACCTGATCAAGATTTACACTACACCCAATATTCTTGTTCATGAGTAATAAAGTATGAATACGGGAAATGTTCCCAATGCATGGTGAGATGTTCCTGTGAAATCGATGTGAGGAGAAGATCCAATCTCCTAATTACAATCCCCCAAGCTAGGGGTTGTGAACCAAGGATTAAAAATTTGCAACTATCAGGCATATCAGCTGATACGTATTGTATCAGCGACCCCCCATATGTCTATTACAGTTGTTTTGGGGTCTGACCTGGTTTAAGGGGTAGATATGCCTTATTATCCCTATCCCGAGTCAATTAAAAAAAAGAAAAATTAAGAAGAAAAAAAACATAAAATGCAGCATGATATAGGCCAATACGCTCCTAATAATCAATGTATCAGCCGATATCGATATTTAGAACTAACTTGGAACCAGACCAGATATATAAACTGGGTTTTGGGTTTAATAATTCCAACTCAAAAACAGTGTTTTAAAGCAGACCTGAAAATATAATTACTCTTTTTTTTTCCTAAACAATAGATCAATGATTTAATTATCTGAATTAAATGGGTCAAATAAAATGATCCATCACACGATGAACACATTACGAAATACCACTTTAATTGAACCAATTTAAAATAAAGAAATGTTCTGTCACAGACTCACAGATCATAAAGGACGAGACCCTACGCTCATTTATTTACGGTTATAATGGTTGTAATGTCCGCTACAAACCGATTACCCTTTTTCTTTCGACTGATTCATCAAACATAATTAATATACTTTACAAATATTAAACTGAGGAATGTGTTCAGCTCTTGGGTCTAGAGCTCTAAAACCCAGAATCTAGGGCTTCAATCATCACAAGTTTTCTCCTATTTAATGGATTGTGACCCACACTGAATGTTTCTGGCTAACAAATTGCCTGCACCAAAAACCATCATCACCAGATCAATTATAACCATGTGGACTGTAATCTCTACATTTTTATGGGGCTGTGTTTTGAGCAGTATTAGTAGTCTTTGTCCATTGTCCCAAGAGAATTTTAGCTTCTATAGCTGATTCTTAGACTTAGAGTACATTTGGTTCATATTTGGAATCGGAATTGAAATTCTTCGAATTGGAATGAGAATGGTCTAAAAGGGATTTCATTTCCAAGAGAGGAGGAGGGATAGCCGGATAGGGAGAGAAGGGGAATGCGTTCCTTCAAATAAGAGAATGACATTCCATCCAATTCTGTCCAACCAAATAGTTGAAATGGGATTCCAATTCCTTTTTTCTGTAAACTAAACGGGACCCTTAATTTAACTAATCTTTTAGGGCCCGTTTGGAATGGCTGAAGCTTTGGTTAAATTGCTTTGGAGAAGCCACTAAAAAAAGCTGCAATAGAAAACCATTCCTTTTTTTTTTTCTTTCAAATTTGGATGAAAGAAAATCAAATTTGGATGTTAAAACTGATACCCAACTCAACATCCGATCCGATCATATTGGATGTTAAAACTTGCATCCATTTGATAAATTGATCTGCTCAAATAAACATCGGAGTCTGATTAATATAATATATAGGAGCTACTCACCATGAAATACATGGCGATTTGTTAAGGTATAAATCATTTAATTGATGAACAGCCATTGATAAAGAAATTGCTTTTTATAACAATTTCTACTGTGACGTAGAAAAACAAAATGAAGAAACAGTACAAATAGGTAGGCTAGGCCCCTTGAATCAAGCTCATAGAGTCATGTTGAATTTGGACCAGGAACATCTCTCTTGGTGTTAGGTGAAGATCCACAGAAGAGGCAATTCCTTGACTTTCCCTGGTGTCCCACATGACTCTTCTCTCCATTCATAGTACCATCCATTATTAGCTTTGGTAAAACTCCATTCAACCCTATAAAAAACACAAAAAAAAAGTTGCAGAGAAGCTATTTCAAATTTATTGTGATCTGTGTGCCTTAAGAAAACAATTGAATCCACTTTTGAAATATTGTGGTGTAATGCACTAATCGTTTTAAAAATCAGACCGGATATGAAACCGTTTTGTAGAGGTGGGAATGAGTCAAGCTTTTCATGAATTGTTCGACTTTGGCTCAGTTCGGTTTTAATCGAGTTTCGAGTCAAGTTCAAATATATATATAATTATAAAAAATAATATATATAATAAAAATATTATAATTCATATTTTTTAAATATCAAATGAAAAATATTTTTTATATATATTTTTTTAATTTTATAAAATATTTTTCCTCAAATCAAGCTCGAGCTTATGAATTTTTGATTTGAGCCGAGCTCGAGCCTTATACAACCTTGGCGAGCCGAGCTCGAGCCTCATACTATTCGGTTCGGCTCGGCTCGAATCCACCCCTACCGTTTTGGCCACTGGTTCCCGGGTCAAACAGTCTGAACATCTAGTTTGAACAGACAGTTTGTTCTGATTTAAAAAAAAAAAACTAAAAAGTTAAAATGAAAAACAGCCAAAAACTGTCATCCGGGTCAATAGGCTGACGGTTTGACCACCTAGATCAGCGGGTCACTGATGAAATCAACAGTTTTTGACCCCAAAACAGTTTTAAGGTGAAACCAAACCGATTGCATAATCGGTTCCTGGGTCAACCGGTCCGACCGTCCGATTTTCAAAACCATGGCATTAAGACCAGGTTATTCTCTCTCTACCTGGGATGCCAGCCTTCTCCTTTATTGCTTATTATTCAACTCTTGACTCATTCAAAGGAGACGGGGATCCCCACGAGTAGGGAAGAGCTTCCTTTGATTGAGACTCACATAAAGGGCCCTTCCCTTGTTTCCCAAGGGTCCTACACCTTCCATCATGTGCCCTCAACCTCAAGCTTTGCCCCAACAAGGGACAACCTAAGCTACTGAATGGCTTTGATTGAAAGCATTCTTTATCTTAGTACATGACCAATTATATTTGGATAATGTGTGGCCCCACACCCACAATGAATTTAACTTATGAACATGCTGTTACCCTCTGATTTCTATCAGATGGTAATCAGTCTACACTGGCAATTAATCAAAGATTGTTGGGCCCCATTCCATGTATGGCCTCAAGGGTCATCATGATTTAGAATGGGTCAGGACTGATCCAAATCGGACTGCATTTCTGCATCATGGAATGGTCTCTTTTGGTGGCTTTCGTTCCATTTCCATTTGGAAGGGAACCGGGGAAGGGCCCCACACATGGAAAGAATTGGATTTGGGATCAATGATTTCAAAACGCCATTGACCCGGATGGCTGAACCATTCCACCCGGGAGCCCGTCACCTTGTCAGATCTATTTATTGCAAAAATCCGTTGATTTGGTAAACAAACCATTAACGCAGACAGTTACACCGTAGAACCATTTCATTCGGGTAAGGGCAACGGTTTATGAGCTGATAATGATAACTGTTTTTATATTTTAAATATTTCATTATGTTTGTAATGATCCCACGGTCAGACCCGTTTGAACCAGACAATTGAACCACTGGCCCAACCCGGAGGCATAAAAGGGGTCGATTTTTAAAACATTGCTCGGAAGTTGGAAGTTGGAACCCACTTTGAGAATTGTCGATAAAAAAAGAATGTGATCGAATGCTCGTGGGCTCTTGATGATACCATATAGAACAATACACACCCTCTGATCAACGGTTTTAGAAGAAAGTATTTTGATCAGATGGTTATAAATAAATTGACTTTGTTCATAAGATCTCCTTTTAGTGAAGTCCAAGTCAGAGAGCGAAGGCGGAAGGGGTCAGGTTGGGTGGATTTTGAAGCGGAATTTTACCAAACAAAGAAAACGAGTAGAATTCAGAATTCCATCTCTCGGGTTAATTGTGAATTTGTGATGAGAAGAAAGCGAAGACGATTGGAAGTCTTCGTTCAATAATAACTTAAATTTCTGGGGAATAAACTTACATACACTTCATACCATCTGACCATCAGCGTCACATGGGAGAAGAGCCACCTCCACCGTTACACAACTTTTTCCTCCACGCCTTCCTCTCTTCCCACTCCTTCAGAATCCTTCTCCAGAGCTCAATTTAGGGTTCTTGTTGTTCCTCTGGTGCCATCTTGCTCTTCTTTTGCACTTGCAGAGCCGTTCTAATTGTTTCCGTTTGTCCCCTTCTTTGCGCGCTCATGTTATTTCTCTCAGAGTCGGGCAGAGCAGCATTCATGTGGGCTTCTTTGATGCTATCGTCGTTGTCCTCGTGTCACTGATCTTTTTTTTTTTTATTTTTCATTTCCATTGTTTTATTTTGAGTTTTTGATTTGGTGGGTCTTTGTGGATCGATGGAGGAAAGTAGATTGTGTCAGTGGAGCGTGTTTCGGTCTCTTCTCGCTATTGTTCAATGGTGGGCTTTCAATGTTACAGTGATTATCATGAACAAATGGATCTTTCAGGTGAGTAGTCGCCCTTAGTGATTGTTAAATTTCGCTCCTTTTCCAACCCTGTTAAATGGGTATGATTAAATTTCTGTAAATATTTCTGGGTGTATTTAGTTTCTTCGTTTGATGAATTTTTTCTTGTTTGGTGATTTTGAGTGTTGAAGAATGTTTTTCTTTTTTCTTTTTCCATTTTTAGTTCGTCCTTGTTTTTATCTGATTTTCTGGATGTAATTATGTTTTCTTTATCAGATTTCTATAACGAGGAACAATTATGGATTTTTATATAAAGCTCGATTATTTATGATATGAATAATGGTCACTGTATAGACCTGATAAAAGAGCGCCAATTGTTCAATTATTCTAGTTCTCAACATTTTCCTTATCCCCTTTTTTAACTATCCAGTGTTTTACGTAGAATGTAAAGCGGAACTTTCAATATTTTGTCGATTTTTAATAGTAATTACGTAGTTTAGATCAGGAAGTCCATCCAGGTGTGCTGCTTTCTGATTGTTTTGATCTAACTCCTTTGTTTCTCTTGGATTTGGATTCAACTTGCCTTATGCAGCAGATTTGCATTCATCATGGTTTCTGCAACAAGGGTTTAATGTATCGGAATCTTGAAAAATTAATTTCTAAATAGGAGATTTCCTGATGTGCCAATTCATTGTGTTAGGGTTTACTTTGGAATTTTGGATTATAATTTTGAGATGGAATGATGTTCCATGGACCTCATTGAGTAAAATTCTCTATTGGTTGTGTGCTAAACCATTAACCTGGTAGTATATGTGCAGAAATTCTGGTGCGTCTTTAATTTTATTGTTAGATTTCTCTGGTTTTATTCATCTGAAAAGATTCTTGTGATATTTAAACAGCATGGATCTTGTCTGGGACTGTTATATCCAGAGAAGCTCATCATCTAGAATATCAGTGCATAGATTGTCTTTTAATGTTCAGCAAATGATGTTCCGGGTAAAGGAGTGCATAGATACCAATAACAAGGGGCTTCTATAAAGAATAATCTTAGCCTACCATGTCAATGTAATCTGCTCCTTGTGCTACAATGAAGATTCCATTGTCAGCACTCCTTGATGGAAAACCTCTACTGAGAGGCCACTTAATCACAGCCTCAACCTGCTTGCTGCCAGTATTTCCTTGGTATGTGGTTCAAAGGCCCATTTAGGTGTATATAGGTGTCCAATACATCAATCTCCAAAAATCATAGAACAGGAACATCTTACATACACATTTCAAATATATATATCAAAATAAGAAATTTAAAGTTTACTCTGACTTCACTTGGTGCATCTCTGAGATGCTAGAAAAAGTATCATGTTCATGCATAAAAGCATAATGCACATGCTTCACACTTTCAGGTGTATTATGTCAAGAACATAAAAAGACCATTACCCAATTTTAGTTCCAGCTATATGGGGTCTTGGGAGGACTAGACTGGATACTACCCTAACCTTTATTTTTTTTTTCTTTTTTTTGACAAAGTGGCCACTCTCAGACTTGAACCTGCATTTTCATCATAGTTGTCAAGGTGACGCCTAGGCAACAAGGCGCCCTTTGAGGCTCACCTCGCCTCGCCTAATCGCCTAACAGTTTTCTACTTCCTACTATAAAAAACTTTTTTATTCATTCTTTTTTGAGATTATAGTTATAAAATAGACATTATTAGTAGAAATCACTAATTGCAGATTTAGTCGAGTTTCTTATGAAAGGAAAGAGGGGAAAGATGAAAATTTCAGCAGTAGAGAAGAAAGGAGAAGAAGAAAAGAGTAGGAAGTCAACCAGGATTGTAAATTAACCCTAGCCGCCTACCTCTCATTATATTTATACTTAACTTAAAGGATGAGATATTACAAGGATGCCCTTAGTAGGGCGGCTACTAATATAGCTGAACAGTCACAACTTAAAAAGAA